TTCTATTTCTAAATATGCAATAAATCCGTTTTTCTAGGGATGGTTGGCAACCCCTAGCTGCACAATATTCATGTTTGTGCAAAAGTTATTTTTAGGACTCAAAAGGGACTAAGTAAACACTATAAGGGCAAACACCTCATATTTATTGCTTTGTTTTAACTGAAAAATATATCACATTTAATTGGAATAAATCATGGCTTCACCTCTAAAGAAGGCATGGTTCGTCAAAAAACTGCTTCCTGAAAACGTTTAAAACCTCTGGGGTTTGCATTGTTTCCTCAGTTTGAACTAATTTTCATTTTACAGACACTTCATTTCTCAAATTGTAAAAGTAGACCTTATTTGAAAAAAAGAAATGGTAAATATACTGAAAGCTGTTTGGTTTTAATGTATTTAATCAAATATTGTCACAGGATGTTCTGGGTATATGATGTATGCTAGGTCCTGTAGCAATGAAAGAAGTTGAACCTTTTTAGTTTAAATTGCACTAAAATTGACAAGACCATAGAAATAACAAGAGGTGATGAAGATGAGGACTAAATGAAGGAAGATTTGGCTGAAGAAGCTAGTTTGTGCGGCTGCTGCAAGGAGATGCTAACCCAGGTGGAGAGCCCCAGTTTCTAATGGAGGCCGTTAGCGGTTAGCATCCGAATCCGAATGTTTTCTCAGATATATTTCAACGATGAGTTACGACTGAAAGATGCTTCACTGCAACTTTAACCAGTTATTCATATCTTCTGGTTTTATCTTGATGTTAGCTTCAGCTAGCAGTGTTAGCTCCAGCTAATATAATAAATATAGACCTACGATAACCGCATCATTACCCAGCATGCATTGCACAAAAAATGGTAAACTCCTTGGGCGAAAACTGTAATAAGGGGTTTATATAATTTTTGAAGTAATTATCCGTTTTTAATGATCAAACTTTTTTTTTTTTTTTTTTTGATTAATGTGAAATAAATATATTTATCCCCACATGTTCAACTGGTTGTGGATCCTTTAAAGCTTGTGATTTGCATGCCGGTGCAGTTCTGAAACTGAGAGTAAAGCTTTAGAAATCTGAAAGCTTTGTTTGAAAGTAGGGAAACTTTTATTTAAATAATTTTTTTAGTGATGGTTTCAGATTTTCATATCTAGTTTTAAATCTGGAAAAGCCAAGTAACAACTGGAGAACCGTGACTGAGCTTAGGAGCCACCAGTATATTTATATAAATCCCAATAATAAAAAAAACATTATAAAAACACTTTATAAAAACAAACATAGTTTCATGTCCAGGTTTAATTTTTGTTCATAAATCTTGCCCTTCTGAGGCTGTGAAGGTAAATCTGTGTTTTGTCCAATATTGTGTCACAAACCTAAAAAAAAATGAACCAGTTTAATAATGGAGAAGCTAATAATCAGCTTTATATTTTTTAATATATAAAAACTATGTATTTTCTGAGAATGTCTTTATTTTACAGCAACTATGCAAATGAACAAACATCTAAAAAAAAGTAGAGTATATTTTATTATTTTCAATGTGACTCCCAGGTTGTTCATTCTTCTTTGTCTTTTCTAAAAAGTGCTTTAAATCAGTCCTAGCTGTCTTTATCCACGCTGGGTCAGATCCTGATGTTTGAAAAAGGAGGCAGGGAAAGCAGGATAAAGCCTTAGCCTAGCTGTGTGCAGTTAACCTCGCTGCATGCAGTTAGCCTAGCTGCATTCAGTTAGCCTCGCTGCAGGCAGTTAGCCTGGCTGCAGGCAGTTAGCCTGGCTGCAGGCAGTTAGCCTCGCTGCAGGCAGTTAGCCTCGCTGCAGGCAGTTAGCCTCGCTGCAGGCAGTTAGCCTCGCTGCGTGCAGGTAGCCTTGCTCTGTGCAGGTAGCCTCGCTGCATGCAGGTTGCCTCGCTGCGTGCAGTTCAACTCACTGCATGCAGTTAGCCTCGCTGCAGGCAGTTAGCCTTGCTACATGCAGTTAAACTCACTGTATGCAGTTAGCCTCGCTGCAGGCAGTTAGCCTCGCTGCGTGCAGTTAGCCTTACTGTGTGCAGTTAAACTCACTGCATGCAGTTAGCCTCGCTGCAGGCAGTTAGCCTGGCTGCAGGCAGTTAGCCTCGCTGCAGGCAGTTAGCCTCGCTGCAGGCAGTTAGCCTCGCTGCAGGCAGTTAGCCTCGCTGCGTGCAGGTAGCCTTGCTCTGTGCAGGTAGCCTCGCTGCATGCAGGTTGCCTCGCTGCGTGCAGTTCAACTCACTGCATGCAGTTAGCCTCGCTGCAGGCAGTTAGCCTTGCTACATGCAGTTAAACTCACTGTATGCAGTTAGCCTCGCTGCAGGCAGTTAGCCTCGCTGCGTGCAGTTAGCCTTACTGTGTGCAGTTAAACTCACTGCATGCAGTTAGCCTCGCTGCAGGCAGTTAGCCTCGCTGCAGGCAGTTAGCCTTGCTACATGCAGTTAAACTCACTGTATGCAGTTAGCCTCGCTGCAGGCAGTTAGCCTCGCTGCGTGCAGTTAGCCTTACTGCGTGCAGTTAAACTCACTGCATGCAGTTAGCCTCGCTGCAGGCAGTTAGCCTCACTGCAGGCAGGTAGCCTCGCTGCGTGCAGGTAGCCTCGCTGCATGCAGTTGGCTGCGCTACATGCAGGTAGCCTCGCTGCATGCAGTTAGCCTCGCTGCGTGCAGTTAGCCTAGCCTTAGAGCTAAACTAGGTCCTGGAAAAGGATATTTCTCACCCCATTTCTCTCTCTCTCTTAGCTCTCCTATACTTCTGTAGTGCAGAGGAGCTACTGCGGCAAAGATTTTTGCGCAGTAGCTATATTTCAAAATATTTGAGATGTTAACTTAAAATTAAATTATAAAAAATATATATTTTTTATGTCTTAATCAGGTTCATAGGGTGGTTGGGGTGGCACCTTAGCCTATTGGCCAGCCACCACTGGTATTGACTATGCTGGTCTGAGCAGGTATGCTCATCTGATAGAACACCCGTAAATTAATACAATGTTAAAGAACGCTGACTTTAACCTGTGGTTCAGTAGATGACATTTAGTCTCTCTTTAAATTTAAAATAAAAGCTTTTTTACAACCTGAACCAGGACTTATAATCTTCGGATGCCCTCGGATGCAGGGGACGATACCCGCTACAACGAAGCAACCATTAGAACTGGGATTGATTTTTGCCAGTAGACTAAACCTTAGGGACTGGAGGTCATCTGTTCCCCTTCATTTCGCCTTTGAGTGACGGACATGACGTCCATAATAAAGATGCAAAGACATTTTTTCATACCACTGAATCCTTTCCTGGAACACTTTTCACAGACTAGATTAAGCTGAAGAAACTTTTCCACGGACTCCCCCCTTAATGGGTGTATATATTTTCATGTATGTGACTACGTATATATTTGTTATGTGTGTACAGCAATTTTCGACTGAATTTTTTTATGAATGATCTCTGCATCCATGTTCTGTCTGTCTATCTGTATGCTCTAAACCTTGAAAACGTAAAATAAAATTTATAATAAAAAAAAAATGGCACCCGTTTCCTGGACTTCAGTTGACGATCACTCACTAGACTCATGTAGCTGTTTTCACATTTTATTTAAAGACATAAAAGTCCCTTGAAGGGGGGGGTTTCTAGAGAAAGACGGACACAAGAATAAGTGAGTAAACCTGTTGCAGATTTTGACACAGCATTTAATATCTAAGTATGTTAAGTTTCAGATTAATTCAACCGTCTGAAATGAAAACCGACTCTTGGTGAAACTTGTTACTCATCCTGAAATACTGCGTAGTAGCAATGAGTCACCCGACCAAAGCACACAGTCTCTGTCGCTCACTATAAAGTTTTATTTTATGGCTGCCTGTATTAGTTGTATTAATCGGAGTCGCAACTTTAATTTCAGCCGATTGCGGAAGTTGGGCGCGGTATCCCGTTAGCAGACGGCCATTAGTGCGGTGCAGCCGGAACACGTTGTTGCTCCAAAGGAGCTGAAATGTCTCCTGGAGATGTTATAACTCCTTATTTACAACAACAACAAACACAGAAAATATATTTGATTTTTGTAAATATAAAAAAAAAAATAAACTTATATAAACTCATGCGTTATCATGTGATAAAAAAAAGTTAAATTCTGCGTCTGGAGGAAAAAGTATGAAGCTAGCATGCTATTACCGTTTGTACTAATGGCTTGCAAAAAGAAATGTACATTTAAAATCAAAGTTTTAACTTTAAATAAGAAACGTTGGTTTTACAAGCGACTTCAAATACGTTACTATTATATTAAACTGTGTAAATCGGAAGCTTATAGTTTATTTCTGGTCAGGTATGGACAAGCCCGAGCTAACGTGTCATTTTATTCTTCAAAACTCATCTTTTTTGCACTCATCAGCGCTTAATTCTAAAAATATGTGATACTTTCAGTTGTTAATCGTCAGAAATGTGCATCAATATGATGCAACTTTCCCCCTTTTCGCAAAAATAACAAACAATTTACTTACTTTTTGGTGTTTTTTGAAGCGCATGGAGATCTGACCTAAATTTGTTTTTTGAGTTTTTTTGTACATCACTAAAGGGATATACGCCCGTCGACGTAATTTAAAGTCTATTTTTCGTACAAAAGTAAAGGGCTAAATGGGACTAGCCTATGCTTATGCAAATCGGACGTGTTGCGCATGGGTATGCTGGTCTGACGGGGTATGCTGGTCTGACAGAACACCGGAACGGCAAACGTACGAACTAACAGCCACCCGTTACCGTTTTACAAGTACCAGGTGTAGGAAAGGACAAACATTGCAACACCAAATGGTAGAAAAAACGTAGAGGGAAGAAGCCGAGAAGGAATGAAGTGACTGCGAACTCTCCATGATGGTGGATAAATAATTCAAGACAAAACTCACAGCTTCTTCTATGATGCAGATTATTGAGAAACTAACAGCTTCTCTACCAAGCGTAAAAAAAACATCCCTCAGAAAGAGCCTGAGCAGAGGTCAGACAGCAGGTAGCGGCGTCTGCACTCTCAGTACTCACAGCCGCGTCTGAGTTTCAACCGTCGGGCAGCGTGTGGCGTTCTCTCCTCCCTGTTCTAACCTCCTCGGCTCGCGGCGTTTGACATCACATCAGTTCAGTCTGTGCTTTGTGCAGTCATGAATGAAAAGAGGAACATGAGTCAGATAGCAGCAACTCAGCAACCACAGATGCAAATATGCAGAGGTCTTTGAACTCCTACCTGCAAACATATCTCCTCGTGTCGTATTGTTTTTTCTCTGTGGAGTGTAACGCCGTGACCGGACGGATGACGGCTGTGGAGCGACGGAAAAAAACGCGACACGGTTAAACATGCATTTAAAAACCAAAACAAGATATGGCGTTATTACCTTTCAAATCCACGTCCAAATTAACTCTGGAGACAACTTTTTAATTGACATTACAACTGTGATTCAGAAGGAAATAAAAAAATCAGTTGTTGTCATCAGAATAGTGAGAACTCAAGAGGAAGGAAAGTCCCACTTTGTCAAAGGTTCTTCTTAGAATAACCGCTGAGAGCATCCTCTAAAACCAAGCCACAGCTACAGAGGTGTAGCCTGCCCTCACATGGCTCTGTGATATCAGGACCAACGCAGGGAGGAGTCGCACAAAACATCCCAAACCCAGTTCCAGTTTTAGAAAAGTCTTTTTTCTGCATGAAGGTGGGGTTATTACGGTGGCTGAGAAGTGCAAAACACATTTACAATTCAAAAACACATTAACAAATAAAAAACAAAATAACATTTGAAGAAACAAAATTATATTTTATGAAACAAATGTATTTTTGAAAAAAAAGTTAAAATTTTTAAAAACAAATTTACATTTTAGGAAACAAATTCACATTTTAAATAAGTTAGATTTTAGGTGAGAGAAAGTTTCATTTTAGAGAAAAAAAAATACATTATAGGGAAACAAATTTACATCTAAAAAAAATTGACCGTCCGGAAACACTTGTACAAGTGCAAAGACAAAACTGCAACTGGCAAAACACAGTTACATAGCCAAAAACAAATTAACAAAAGACGGCTACACGGATAGGAAATGTCCCAGTGGCCGGATGTGACGTCACCATTACCCTGACTTGTAGTACAAACAGCTCAATCTGTAGTCCTCCTGCTTCACGTGAAAAGTCAGCGGCGATTTTATTATTGTGGAGCAAATATCAGCCAATTTACACCATTTTGTTTTTCGTGCGGACGGTCTCTGGAACTTTTACGGGACACGGACCAGGTGGCAGGACCACCGGAACTGCTGCAACGTAGCCACTGCCACTGTAGGTACCAGATTGACTCGGGGGCCTGCGCCTATGCTGAGATGCGTCAGAGCGTCCGCCATCTTAAATGTGGCAAATCTGCAGTTTCTCAGTCACTTAAACAGTATCAGAGGGACTTTAATCTCTGAATCTACTTTGTATTCGTAGTATTTTTGTTTTTGTAATATTACAAGTTTATTTTTTGTATCCCTTTAGCTTCATTCTCCTGAATTTATTCTCGTTACAAATGCAGACCGTGGGCTCAATGTAGTTTGTTTGAGTGGCGTTGCCATAATGTGATGTCATCGGGAGGCGCAAGGCCCATGGAGAATTTCTTCGTAAAATTGTCCGTTTACAAACCGCAATCCCGCTTTTGAATAAAAGCTTATGCATTCCCACTTATTGTTGTTCACTTCAAATTTTTCTGACTCTAACTAGTCCCGCAGTTTTCAACCGATTTCAACAATTTTGGTATCAAAACGTTCAGCTTGTTCAGGAGAATTGTGCTATGTCTTTTGGTAAAGATATTTTTTGTAGTTTTCGCGATATTCTGCTTTTTCTGCGTTTTTTTGTCCCATTGAAATGCATGTAGAATTCTTAGATTTCAGCAAAATTCAGATAAAACTTTATCATCTTCGACCTTTAACTACTTCAGCATACTTTCAGCTAGAAACACCATTCAACTTTTAAAATGTTTCCGTATCTTTCTGCTATTACTGTTTAACTCAGCTTTTTGCTAACTTTTACAGTTTTGCTTCAGTGAAGCTTCAAACTTTAAAAGAAAGTTTTAAGATTTTCAGATTTATAATGGAAGTCTATGGACGGAATTCTTCAACTGCTAGAGTGCGTGCTCTAGCTTTTGAGCTGTTCTGGTTTTTCCGAACAAATTGTTCTCAGTCCCTCATTTTTAACTCAATTGAAATAAATTATACATCAAAACATAGGGATTTTTATCAGGATTCAGGAAATATAACCCTAATTTATGTGGCATTTACGGTTTTCCGACAGTTTGGCCCAGACCATGAAGAAGTCCACACTTCCCCAATAGAAATCCAATGAGAGATTTTCCAAAAATCACAGACAAAATCCAAAACGATACATATTTTCATATCACTCCCATTTATTAACCATTTGATGTACTAACATGAAACTTGGTATAGAACATCTTCAGACCCTTCTAGCACTCACATTGAAGGAATTTCTTCAATATCATTTATGGTATAGCTGTTTAGCTGACTTGTTCGGGCATAGGAAAACGCTGATTCTGAGAAAAATCCTCAAACTCAGAAAATGCAGATTTTTACATCGTCACCGTGGCCAAATAATTTTTAGTAGAAACATGAAAGTTTGCACAGTCGAAGCCGAAGGATGGCTGACGCCAACGGTGAAAGAATTTTTTGAATACCTTTTACGGTTTTGGCTCACCGCTCGTTTGTTCGCAGGGAAAGTTTTGCTTTTGGGAGTTCTGTTCTACCATGGAACTCCATGTTATTTAATGAGACCAGCAGGATTTACAAACCTTTATATTTCTCCTTCCCATTAAGGCTGTGAATGAGCTACATCCATGAAAGTTATCCCAATCGGAGACAAAGGATAGCTCTCGCTTAGACTGAAATAATTTTTTAGATACCATTTACGGTTTGTCTTCAGCACTCGTTTGTTCTGAGCTGATATTCCCATTCAAAAAAGCCTGAGAGGAAAGGAACGAAAGTGAAGCGCATGTCTCTCTGTCACTGACAGGCTCGTTAAGCGTTGTCAAGGTAACCGTGCTTCAAAGAGATTTTACCTCCACCACTTTAAACAGCACATTTTAATCTAATGGAGGGAGACAACACTGATTTAACATTAGGAAGTGGATACAATATGACTACTGGCCATGACCCTTCCCTTCACACGCAACCCTGATAGACTTTCAAAATAAGACTCCGGGGACCCTTCAAAATAAAAGCCCCTACATTAAACTCATATTTTTTCCCAGCATATGGCTAAACATTATGACCCAAACTCAACCACTTTTTTAAAAATGAGACTCTAGGGGGTTTTCAAAACACACCCCACCGAAAATTTCAAAATAAAAGCCTCCCATTGCCACTTTACCTACTGCCCTAATAACAAGGAAAAGAGTGATTTAACGATTGGAAAGTCATCAAGTATCACTGCTGGGTCTGACCCTTTTCTCAACACACAACCCTGCTAGACTTTCAAAATAAGACTCCAGTGACCCTACACAATAAAAGCCTCTATATTATACTCGCATATTAATTGATGCAAATGGCTCAGCATTATGACCCAAACTCTACCAGCTTGTTTCTATTAGACTCTAGGGACCTTTTCAAAACATACCCCAGAGCAAATTTCACAATAAAAGTCTCCCATTTACACTCTAATACAGCATCTATTCACCCAATAACATGGAAAACCAGTGATTTCATATTTGGAAATGGATTCTATATCACTGCTGGGCATGACCCTTCCCTTGACACACATCCATGATAGACTTTCAAAATAAGACTAAAGGGAACCTACAAAATAAAAGCCTCTTCCTTACGCACACTCATTCATTGTGCCATATGGCTTGTAGCTATGACCCAAAGTCAACCAATTTCTTCAAATTACACTACCAAGGCCTGTTGACCACACACCTCAGTGCATATTTCTTAATCAGGTTCTAAGATTTACACTGTAATAAAGCATCTGCTAACCTTGTAACATGCAGCCTAAGCCTGCCAACGGTGCTTTCATTACCACAGCGGCTCGTAACATGCAGGTTCAATTTTTTTTATAAATTCAGCTCCTTAAGTGGTATTAGCTCTCTTTCTATAAGCTTCTCTCTCTGTCCTTCCTCTGCTTCTCATGGTCAGTCTTGCACATAGGTTTGTAGATTTTCAATCCTCTAAGGATGACACTGTTTTCTTTATGCTGATCAACCGACACATTTTAAATAATTTTCCAATTGTTTTGCCAAGTCTTGACATTTCCACATATGATTTCAAAATGTTAATACTTATTCAATACCATCGTCCTCAACATTTTACTTCCCATCCTTAAGCTACTAATTTTTTCTTCAACCAGATAAGATTAAAGTTTTTCTTTGTAATTTCTTTTCTACTTCAGCTAATTTCATACTTTTCAGCCTATGTTGTGAACTTTGGCTTCATTCTGCTCTGTTTCTGGACAGGAATTAAGCTTTTCTGTTTGCTGCTAATTCATAACACGCCTGACATGTTTCTGGAAAGTAGGTAAACCCCCCTTCAAAATTTCTTTATACATTTTTCTAGAAACTTGGGAGACATTATATTAAGACCCTTCTAGTGCCCACATTCAAGAAATTTTTTGATATCATGTATGGTTTGGCTGTGCAGCTTTTAAGATGAGTTTGTTTCTGCCATTTTACTGCCAAATGATTCTACCCTACAAAATCTTCAGATGATTCAATTGTTTTCTGCAGTTTGAAGTTTCTGATGACTTCCTATCACATTTTCATATGTTCTTCAGGTAATTTCAGCTTTTTTCATTCAGCAAAAGCATTCCCACTTTGATGTTTCTCCGAAACAGCTTTTTCTAGTTACTTTAGTAAGCTGTCCAGAGCAATCACAATGTTTTGCGCAATTGTGCAAACGTTAAAACAATTATGTATTGTGATGTCATCAAAAGGCGCAGGTCCCCGAGTCAATCTGGCAGCCCAAGTCAATCTGGTACCTACACCACGAATTGAGCTCTGCCCTGCTGCTTGGTCCTGCCACCTGGTCCGTGTCCCGTAAAAGTTCCAGAGACCACAATAAGGGCAAAACATTGTTCGGTTAGCATAAACTTAAGAAAAACAGCTTCAGTGCAATTCTTTCCATCTAAAATCGCACTTTTCACGTGCAGCAGGAGGACTACAGATTGAGCTGTTTGTACTACAAGTCAGGGTAATGGTGACGTCACATCCGGCCACTGGGACATTCCCTATCCGTGTAGCCGTCTTTTGTTCATTTGTTTTTGGCTACATAACTGTGTTTCGCCGCTTGCAGTTTTGTCTTT